TCTGTAATTACTTTCACAGGTATCCCTACTAAATAAATGCGAAACCGTTTCAGCGACTCTACTACTGCGAGGGTCTCAAGTTCATAACTGTGATAAAATTGTTCTTCTTTAGATGTTACTCTACTGAAATATGCTATTGGTTTTATTTCACCATCGGGCTGCTGCTGCATGAGTATGCCACCTAATCCTAACTTGCTCGCGTCAGTGTGTAGTTCCGTAACTGCTTTGCTATCATAAATGCCGAGAACTGGCCTCTCAATTAATCGAAGTTTCAGACACTGAAACGCATTTTCCTGTTCTGGACCCCAATGCCAATCCATGCTCTTCTTCGTCAGTTTTGTTAAGGGAAGAGCAATCTCGGCAAATCCACGAATGAATTTTCTAAAGTAGGAGGTAAGTCCAATAAACTGTCTGATCTCATGAACGTTTTTGGGTCGTCGATATTCAGAGACACATTTGATTTTGGCTTGACCAGGTCGGATTGTTCCTGCAGATATCTCATGGCCCAAGTAATTGACACTTTCTTTCAGAAAAGAGCATTTTTTTAGATTTAATTTTAGACCAGCTTTTTGTAAAAGACCTAGAACACCATCCAATAATTGTATACCGGCTTCTACAGTTACAGTAGGTAGCATTATGTCATCAAGATATATGGCGACCTCGTTTCTAACGTCTTTTAAGGCAAGGCTTATTAGTCGAGAAAACACAGCAGGAGCATTGGCCAATCCAAAGGGTACCTTTAGGAATTCGTAATGTCCGGAGGTTGTTACAAAGGCAGTTTTATGTGTCGAATCATCGGCAAGCTTCACTTGATAATAGCCTTGAGCTAAGTCAAGCGTTGTGAAGTAAAACTTACCTGCCAATTTTGAGATTTGATCGTCAATATGTGGCAAGGGAAACCGATCTTTTATAGTGTGAGAGTTTAAAGCCCTATAATCGACGCATAGCCTATAGTCACCGCCTTTCTTTTTCACCAATATAACTGGACTTGCATATTCGGATGTTGATTCGCGTACTATACCGGCTTCAATCAAATCTTGCACCTTACTATTAACGATTTCGTTTTCTTTCTGTGATAGTCTATATGGCTTAAAGTAAACGGGTTTGTCAGTAGTTGTCCGTATATGCATTTCCATAAGATCTGTGCACCCCAAATCTCTCGTATCCCTAGCAAAGATATGACTGTATTTATAGTTAATAGTTTTATGAGCTCATCCTGGTCTCTCTTTTCTAGGTCTCCTACGTCAATTTCACCCTTATTTAGAAGGTTACCGGAACCATCAGGAAGACATAAATCGATATTCAGTACGTCCTGCACATTAGTAGGGGGGTAGGGTCACTAGTTCAGCCCGCGCTATTAATTTACGAGCAGGGAAGGAAACTGGTATATTACTCATATTTATAAATTTTAAACACCCTTCGATGCAGATAATTCCTCCAGGTATAGCATAACATAATTTTCCTAATTGCATATAAACAGAATTTGTCAGGAAGTACAAATTGTCATTAGATTCTATATTCACCGTCACATCAATTAGGCTGACGCTTTGTGCTGGTAAAGTGACATCATATTTTAGGTACACATCAAATTTACAATTGAAGTCTAGATTTTCCAATTTAACGTACTTTAGGCAATCATCACCTACTAAAGTTTTTACAAACTTCGCAGAGTTAGAGGTAGTTACCAGACTTACCCCCCGGTTGATTTATCATCGGTTGCCCAATAATTAAATCAATATCGGATAGTTCGTAATTAGTTATTTCCACGTAGCCACTTAGACATATTTTGTCTATATGCACAGTTATTTGCGACCTCCCCAACGATTTTATGCAAGTTCCCCCAAATCCTCTCATTACCGTGGTCGATGCCGCTATTGGTAATTTCAACAATTTTGCTTTATTTTGTGTAAAAATATTTAATTTACTACCCGTATCTATGTAGGCAACCAGTTTTTCTGCGCCGATGTACGCGTAACGCTTATATACATTGCATAACACATCACTAGTGGTAAACAAGATGTGACTCACCAGGGATGACGAACGTTGCTGCGTTGAACCAGGAGTCGCCACAAACCAACAGGTAGCCGAAGTGTGACCGTTGCGTTGACAGTTTTCACAACGTTGTTTTGAACGGCAGTCCTGAGCTACATGTCCTAACCGCCGGCAGATATAGCACCGTCTCACCCCAGTCTGTTGGTCAGTTGTAGAGCTTCCATCGGTTGTACCCCTTTTCCATATTGACTTCCGCATAGGTGTAGGTTCTATTCTCTTATAATTTTCAAATGATGATAAATACCCGTAGTATAATAACTGTGGCGTTCGACATTTGTACGCTTTTGCGTTTGCTTGCAGCTCCACGGGAAGACCTCGGATGATACAAGAGATTGCATTTTCTCCTACGATATTGCATTTCTTAATAAGTGATAATTTATCGTGGAAATAATTAGTCATGGTTTCGGAATCTTTTTTTGTTCTTGCCAACATCTCTTCGAGCCTGCTGACGAAATCAATGGATCGTGGAAAGGCCATTTCCAAAGCATGTTTCCATCCTTCCCAGTCGAGGTTATAGTCATCTAAGTCATCATACCAACGTCGAGCTGAACCACGCAGACGAAGTTGCATTAAAAATTGTTTTTCGGTTCCATCCCATCCATATATTTCACCAAGCTGATCGATCTTGTGCAACCAACTGCTGACATTACTAGTATTATCTTCAGGTCGAAATTTAGGGATGATCTCAGCGTCGACATGACTCACTCGGCGTTTTTTTTCCGTAGCGGGCGCGTGGTCTTCTGAAGAAAAAAAATTTTGAGTTTCTTCGTTTTCTTCATTCTTCCGGGAACGTTTTCGGCAATATTTCCGTTTATTTTCACCAAGGCCGTGTATGTAGGGGCCCGACATCTTATATCCCAGAACAATTTTATTTTCGGTTTTTCACGAATTATCCCACTTCTGAAATGTAACAGAGTGTGGTTGTCGATTTTCAAATAAAACTTTAATATCGTTTTAATCTAATATATAATTGACAGAGTTTCTGCTTAATGCAACTATGTAAATTACAATGAATCTAGTCGGCGTCATGCTTTTGTTTTTATACCCGCGTTATGCGGTTTACAATTATTCATAAACGGAAGTCGTTTAAAATCACCTACATTATTTATCACATCCGGAATCTAATTCTATACTGTAATTACAAACTTTTTATCGTACTTAAATATTTTAATATACTATAAATCGAATAATAATGCATTTATTTAATCAAGTAATTTTGATTAAGTTAAATTTATTAAATCAAGTGATGTTCAATGATAAGAGGTTTAAGAGTAAGTAAATTTATAATTATGGCTGAGGGCGGGAAACATTTGCTAACACAGTGCAAATGTCGAGCGTCTGTTTTCTGATGAAAACAAACAACAGAAACAGACTTTCCACTGACGCGCAGGTGTCTTGATGATAAAGAATAATTTAATAAAAAAAAAAACATTTGTTTTACATAATGATTTCTTATATTTACGCGAACACTATACATTGATTAAAACTACTTTTATGGATTTTGTCGCGTTTTATTTATTTTATTTTAAATATTTAATACATGACATTTCGGGTGCTTTCCAGCACCCATGGTCACGGGGGACTGAGATGACTGACGTCCCGATGTCAAAGTTACCCCGGAGTACCTTCAGCTGTAGTTTGCGATCATATCCTAGATGGCCCCAAACATTACATAAGATTTGATAGACCACAAATCCTTGCGAAAGAACATCGATTCCTACCAAGGACGATTCGTGAGGCTATTAAAATTAAAAAAACATCCTAATTTCAATAGGATGTTTTTTAATTTCAACAAGGAAGGAGGCTGGATACTACCACCTGCTTGGGACCCTATAATTAATAAAATTAAAACTAAACCCAAGCATACCTGCAAGACTTCGAAACACAGTTATACTTATATTACGTTACTATATAATTATATTACGTTAGTACTCTTATTAGTTTGTGTTTATGAACTATAGTTCATTCTGCGTACGGACCAAAGGCAAATAGTTAAAAGCTGAAGTTATGGAGTGTAGAAGTAAGGAGTACAGACTGTATTAAAAAGTGTCCATAGAAAACCGGTAAATAAGGGTGGCGCCACTATAACTACGGGGTAAATTTTAAAGAATGCACCAATAAATATTAGTGGGATAGAAGACTTTTTCGAGTTTATATTTACTAAATAAAATTATTTTAGATTTTAGAGCTACTGATGAGTTTAGCAGCACATTTAACCGTCGACAACTGCTAAGTTCATTTCATCCCAGTAGCTACGCCAGCGCTGTTGTGGAGAGTTTTTGAACTGTTATTTACTGCTTACAGATGGCCACTTTTTCAACTATTGTACTATGGGAGTTGGTACTCCTTACTTCTACACTCCATAGTCGAAGGTACTCCGGGTTAACTTTGACATCGGGACGTCAGTCACTTCACTCCCCCTCCCCCGTGACCATGGGTGCTGGAAAGCACCCGAAACGTCGAGTATTAAATATTAAAAGTAAAATAAATAAAAATCTATAAAATCCGTAAAAGTAGTTTTAATCATCACTTGTTTTATCCAGTTTCTCCAACCTCTTATATTTTAATCTATACTCTTTATTTCACTAAAAAAACGTATAATACGTAACGTATAATAGGAGATCTACGAACTTTCTATATGCAAAACTTAGAGCATACATTACATGTAACTCCGTATTATTCTAATCTGGCCTACTCCTATTTGAAAATCCGAGTTGGCAACACTGTTAACACTGTTACCATAGCAACGTAATTAATGTCAACAAAGTTTTTTCACGTGAAGTAGCTGTAAAATTTTGAATAGTAATTACTAAACGATATAGTAATATATTTGCTTACTACTTTGTTAGTGGTTACACTAAACTATTTCCGTGTTCTATAGTGGCAGAATTTATAAAAGTTAAAGGTTTCTATACAGTTACCAATTGTTAAACTACAATTTATCCATGATGGTAAGTAAATTTTGTTCATAAGTATAGGCTTTTGTACATTTAACGCGGACGCATGTTATAAATTTTCAGGGGCTTTTAAATATTTTAAGAAAACTGCGTTCGCATCCAGAAAAAGAATTGCGTTTATTACTTCTTGGATTGGATAATGCGGGAAAAACAACGCTTCTAAAACAACTAGCCTCGGAAGATGTAACACATGTGACGCCGACGGCCGGTTTTAATATAAAATCAGTACTTTCTAATGGATTCAAATTAAACGTATGGGATATCGGAGGACAGCGAAAAATCCGGCCATATTGGAGAAACTATTTTGAAAATACTGATATCTTAGTAAGTACAATTACTACCACTACCATGCATTAATTACTCTATAATGTGAGTATTTACAATTCTTTTTTTTATTTTTAACATTAACTATACTTATTATAAAGGCGGCTCCATTTGTTGGCCAACATAGTGGCTAATGTTGTGGTAAAGATATTAGCCAAGAGTTTGTGATGGCGTCCACATGTTGGAAGGTCGTTCAGTTTACTTCGGTTCAGGCCAATGTGTGAACGAATTTATAAAAAAAATTATTGAGGCGTTAACAGCAGCTGTGGTTTTTTATTCATAGCATACCACTACTATGTGAATATGTATAAGAAATTATTATTTTTATTACAATTTTTATTTTTAGAGCTCTATAAAGCGAAATATTTCTTCATTGATCATTGTTATTGTCATTTTGTAGACTCTAGTTAGGGTGGATGCCTCTAATACCAGCCACGCTCCTAATTCCAGCTTTTTCGCCTTTTTACTTCGTAAATAAGGTTTCTAGTAGTCTTCACAACAAATAAATTATTTCAAATATCACACAGTTATAAATCTAACAGTTTTACATTAAAAATCAAAAAGCGTACACAATGGAAAACGCTTATTTTCCTAATTTAGTGACAAGTTGCGGTCTCTATAAAATTAGTCTTATTTTACATTAGTTCATCAGTAGGCTTTTTGATTCGCATGAATACGACGGTAGACATAGTAATACAGTAATTTTTCTTTAAATTTATAAGTTTTCTATTTTATTTTAGTAGAAATGAATAGGGCTGTAAAATAGATATACGAAATATATGAAGTGCATAATATCAGCCATCAGGCAGATATTTGGTTTGCTTATTTGCCGCTTTGATAATGAAGAATATTTATTTAGCTTTATTTATCCCTTACATGAATCATAAAGTGGAATAAATACCATTAATTAGAACTTAACTTATTTTAAAGTTAAAGTAGTTATTATCAATTCGTCTATGTTTTAAAATTGGTTTTTGATTTTAAGGTTGGTAAAAGATGTACTTGCTTTTTAATCAGACATTCGATGTAAGTACTTATATAGCAGTGCTGTCTCGTTGGTCTAGTGGTTGTAGTAGTGCGACTGCTGCTCATGGGGTCCTGGGTTCTAATTCCGGGTCGGGCAAAAAAAAATTAGTTATTGAGTTTTTCTATTAAGAAATTCTCAGTAGTTACTCGGAATCAGGAAGTTGGCGGTGTCTCACACCCGTGCCTCGGAAAACACGTAAAGCCATTGGTTCTGCGCCTGATCTCTCTCCGGTTGTGTCAGTTTACCATCCGATCTACTATGAGAGTAAGGGAATAGAGAGTGCACCTGTGCTTGCGTGTACACTTGGACTCTATAATCCTGACCTGCACGGATAGCTATTCTCCATTGAGGCTGGCCACCGTGACGAAATTTGGTCTGGAGGATATTAATAGTAGTAGACTTACAATGTGCTGTAATAATGATCCTAAAATGTTGGCAACATGTGTCCAAGGATTTTGTAAGGAGGATTTGCCCTTTTCCTCTAGCTTGACAGGTGGATTGACAATCGCAATGCCACATTTCACACCTTTGATGGTGTAGCCCACTACCAAGCTAGGTTTACACCTGACATAAAGAAGATAGTTATACCACTATATATCAGAAGCAATTGCATGTTGTAGTCACCTATTATAATCTCGAAATTTAGTGCATAAATCTAAATTGTTCATTGGTTATTATTTAAACTGTCATGGCTTCTATTCACATTGCAGATATATGTAGTAGACTGCTCGGATCATCAAAGACTGGAGGAGACGAGCTTTGAGTTAGCTGAACTGTTGCAAGATGATAAGCTATGCGGAGTACCATTGTTGGTATATGCCAACAAACAAGATCTTGCCACAGGTAAGCTTTTATAATTATATATTTGTAGAACATTAAAATTTAACCACTTACTTGAAAGTGTTCTGGTAGTTGAGGTGCAATCTTTGAAATATTTTGTATTTTTAACCTTAAAAAATTACCAAAAAGACCAGGCCAGGCTTTCCATGTTCCGAAGTACATTTTGAAGAGTATATGCAGGAATTGCATAACTTAATTCCTTCCTCAAGGCTAGTTGTTATCAACATACTATAACAGCATTTAACCTAAACTGCTTCGTAGTTTGTCTTCTTTTTCTTCTTTGTTTTGTGGCGGTTTGATAAAATTCGCCAATGACGTATTGAGTGGAAAATGAAAGCTTATGAGTTTAATTAAAATAAGAGTCTTGATAATACAAGGATTCAGTTCTCCTCCGAGAATTTCGACAAATCTATTTGTTGAATTACCTAGAACAAATATGACAAACACAGGTGTTAGATTCTTACCAGTATGTTAAAAGTGACAAGGATTTAAAGTTTCATATTATTAGTATTAATAAAATCACATAAAATATACACAAAAGGAGTACTGGTATATGTTAAAAGAGAATTAAAATCTATAGGTCGAGGAATATAAGGAGAAGGTAATCATAAAGGGAGGAGGATAATTTGGGAAAGTTGAAAAAAATGTGGTTTGTGGAACCTTCATCTAAGCCACATTCACACAATGAGCTATCCCTTACTCTGATTTTTGCCAGATGTGCATGTGTACAAGCGTGTCCAATTCTTAATCTACAAATGATTGAAGTTGCATGTTTATTTGCTTTGTTAAATTTAAAGAACCAAAGCTTGGGAGGAATAACCTCTTGGATGGCAGCATAGTGCTTACCTTTAACATTTTTGGAAACTTCCCATAATTTATTCCAATTTTCATTCGGTTTTCTTTTAGCTAGCAAAATTAGGTCATGTGAGTAAATTAAATTTTGTAGAATCCCATTAGCAATTGCATTTTTAACGAGTACATCAGCTGTTTCGTTACCATGGATACCACTATGGCCTGGGATCCAGGCCACTGAAACATGGATTCCTTTAAGATGGCATCAGAATAGGGTATTTTTTATTTTAAGAATTAGTGGAAATTTATGTTTGTTATGGAATTGATTGGACAAAATAGCTAACAAACAACTTATTGAATCTGTGAAAATAACTGTTTTATTAAGATTATGTGACTCTACATATACCAAAGCTTCACTGATTGCAGTTGCTTCACCAGTAGAAGTGGAGGGGCATTTAAAGTTAAGAATGATTTTGAACTTAGGAATCCAAACAGCTGGAGCAGTATAGTCTTCATCAGACTGATTGGAAGCGTCTGTATACATGACAAGCCAATCTTTAAAGGTGTTTTATATAATTTCTTTTAATTTCAAATTTGCCATTGGAGAATCCTTTTCTATACCTAGATCTAGATGAATGTCAGGTTGGTAAACAATAGCCTCGTAAAGGACATCAAAGAGTGGATTTATTTTACATTGAAAGATTAGGTAGGGAAGCTGAAGGAAAATTACAAAACTTTTAAATAAGCAGGGAGAGTCCTTATGGGTCCAGTATCGGTCAGATGAGATATACTCTGAAAGAAGATGCAATTTAGGAATTAGGGGATGATCTGAAAGCTGGCAGATCTTAAATAAGAATCTGTCTGAAAGGTATTGCCTTCTTAATCTTAAAGGAGGATCTACGCACTCAACCTGAAGAACATTTATTGGTGAGGATTTCATTGCCCCTGTAATAATGCGAAGGCATTTCGATTGAATTTTGCCCATTACTTTCAGGGTTGATTTATTGCAAGGCTCCAAGAGAAAACAACCATAGTCAAGATGGCTTCGTATTAAAACATTGTACAGTAATTTCAGAGAAAAAAGATGGGACCCCCACCAAACACCAGACAAAGACCGAAGAATATTTATGTTTTTTTCGCATTTTTGTGTTATATATTCAATGTAATGACCGAAGGCCAATTTCGAATCAAGGATAACTCCCAAAAATTTAACATTGCCTCTAACTGGAATAGGTTGCTTATCATATACAACAGATATATCGGGAACTCGCCTTTGGCGGGAAGAGATCACCACACTACTCTTGGCCACAGATAAAGAGAGGCCATGATTAGTTAACCATTCTTGTAAATAATCCATGGATGAGTTTAGACGGGAACATGCCACTGTGAAGTTGTTTAAGGAGATGTATAGAGCTAAATTGTATGCATGTTGAAGAACATTACAAAAAGAATGTACTGAAAGTTCTAAATCATGAGTATATATAGAATAAAGGAGAGGACTGAGAACTGAGCCTTGTGGAAGTCCTTTCCATATAGTTTTTAGGGGAAGCAGGAAATTTTTAACAATTATAGATATTGATCTAGAAAAGAGAAAGTTAGAGACGTAATTGACTATCCTCACTGGAATGCTCAGATTAAGCATTTTCTGCCTGAGCACAGGAAGAAGCTCATTATCATATGCAGAAGAAATATCCAAGATAACTCCTATGAGAAATTCATGTCTTGAAAAAGCAATATGAATATCTGTGACCAAAGTACTAAGGCTATCCATGGTACTTAAACCTTTTTGGAAACCGAATTGGGTTTTAGGTAAGAGATTATTCCTTTCCAAAAACCATTCCAAGCGATTTTTTATTAAATGTTCCAAGATTTTTGCCAAAGTACAAGAAAGGGAAATAGGTCGGTAACTGGAAGGGTTATTGCTAGACTTACCTGGTTTGAGTATGGGCAAAATAATTTGGGTTTTCCATTCAGCAGGAGGATCATCACCAGTAATATAAATAAAATTTAAAATGGATAGTAAGACAGTTTTAGTGTTCTCACTACTATTAATTATAAACGAATAAGGAATCCCATCAATACCTGGTGAGGAGTCTTTAAGGCCGTTGAGTACAGTAAACAATTCCTGAGAAGAAAAGGGGAATCAAATTTATCATTTGTTTTAAAAAAAGCAGAATTAAAAACTAGGTATTCATCATAAGATGGGACTGTTTGTGGTGCAAGTTTATTAGAGAATTCATCTATCCATGGGGAAGGATCATTAGAAATTATATTTTCACTAGAAACTGCACAGCGATATTTTTTATCATTTCTCCAGACCAAAGATGGGGGAGTCCTAGGTGACAGTGAAACACAAATTAAACCACCCAGTTCGCTTTTTGTCTGACAGTAATTTTAAGGTTTCTGCAGCGATTTTTTTATAGGAGATATAATTCTCTGCAGTCATATAACGGGAGTATATTAATTCAGCCTCTTTTATCCTCCTACAAGCTGATGAACAATCTTGATCCCACCAAGGAGGGGAAGGATAATAATTTTTGAATGGTTTTTTTTAAAGGGATTGACTTATTAGCAGCAGAAATAATTGCATTTCTGAACTCTATATATACAGGAGCAATATTATCATCGTTAATTGGGGGAAGAGTTGAAACCTCTTGTTCCAAAACTTTAGAATATAATTGCCCATTAGCTTTGGATAGATTATACTTTAGTCTCGGGCAAAATGTAAAATTTATTCTAGGGGAAGTAGGAGGAGTGATGAATATAGGAAAATGGTCACTGCCATAGCTAGAAGGTAATATTAGCCACAAAAGAAGGGAAGCAGTATCTGGGGAACAGAGAGTTAGGTCAACGGCACTTCTAACATTTTGTAATGGGGATACTCGACGGGTAGGGGACCCGTCATTTAGAATACAGAGATTAAAATTATCAATAAGATCTAAAAATAAGGGAGCCAGTGAATCACACAGATGGGAGCCCCAACCAGTATGATGCATATTAAAATCTCACAAAATAACCATAGGAGGTGACCGAGAAGAAATAAGTGTTACAAGTTCTGTTAAAACATTTACATCAGGATTAGGAATGTAAACAGAGAGAATAGAGACATCAAGGGCCTTAATAGCAACAGCATTTACTGCTGGGCTATGAGAAGGGAGAGGAATTTGTGAAAATGTAACTGTTCTTGAAATTAAAATAGAGGTGCCAGCACGACCATCACTCCTATCATCCCGGAGGAATGCGTAGCCTGAAACCCTAAAATGAGACTCAGGCCTAAGCCATGTCTCCTGGATGGCAAGAATGAAGGGATGAAGTTTATTAATGAGGTAAATGAGTTCATTTTTTTTCTAATGCTCCGACAATTCCATTGAAGAATTGGTGAGACTGTGAATGTTACGGGCTAAGGAGGAAAGCTGAGTAAGTTTTTGGCGTAAGCTGAGAGGAAGTTCTGTGTTAGTGGAGGTGGAGTTGTTGTCATTCCCCAGTAGAGCACACGCATTAGGAAGGGAAGAATTAGGATTCTCAACAATTGCCTGATGGGCTGCCATATCATATCCAGAATTTAATGATTGGCTGTAGGTACGTTGAGGGATAAAAATTGTTTTTTTTATATGATGCAGTTTGTGAGAGCTGAGCCGAAGGGGATGAAAGACTGTCAGTTATGGTATAGGGGGTCTGTTGAGAATTACGAGGCTGGATTCTTGTTGTATCAGCAAAGGATCTTTTTGTCTGAGGGAATCTAGATGAAGCTTCTAAATATGAAATATTTTGTGACATAACAAGTTTAATAAATTTCTGCCTTAGATGTTCAGGACAAGTAGGGTCTTTTGCGGTGTGGGGACCTGAGCAGAATAGATAAGTAGGAGTTTGTCGAGTACAAGATAAACCTTGATGATTCTGTGCACATACAAAGCAGCGAGGGGATGATCGGCACTGGGAAGTAACATGGCCAAATCTACAGCATTTATGACACTGAATTAGTGGCAAAACATATTTTTCCACTGGCATAGAGGTGTAAAAACAGTAAATATGGGGAGGAAGTTTTTGTCCAGAAAAAGTTAGAACGACCGTCTGAGTTGGAACCCATGAAATGCTATTGCTGTCACTCACTGTTCGTCTATTAAGTCGCCGTGCTTTAATTTTTGAACCGTAGCCAGAGGGAATTTCTATAGCTGCTATTAATTCTTCTAGTGTCCACTATATGGGAACTTGTCTAACTAGCCCCATACGAGTGATACTATATGAGGGGATGGTTGCTTCATATTTAGATATTTGGAGAGCTGGGTGATCGATAAAGGTGTTTGCATCTGCTGCTGTTTTAAACTCCACTGATATTCTTTTCGTCTAACTTTTTTGACTCCATCACGGACTATATTTTTAATATTGTTATGATACGGTGCAGAAAGTGACCGAATTTAATTGGTTTAAGAGTTACTCCAGACAACTGATCATTTGAGATTTTACTTACGTGAACTAGAAAAGGAGCGGCATCTTCTTGAGAGTAGTTAACTTTTTTTATTAATAAAATCAGGATGGGTATATGAGGATTGTATTGAAGGAAACTGTTGATTTGGATCAGTAATAACTACTTTTTGTCGATGGGCAGACTCGTTACTTACTTGGGCACGTTTACGGTTAATTAGTTCTACATTATCAATGTTAATGGGCAAGGAAAAGGAATCGTTGCGAACCCTTCCGGGATCGGGAGGTTCGTCCTCCATTATATTACTACAACAAAAAATTACATAAAAACGGCACAACTACAAACACTTACTAATTAACAGATGTTAAAACCTCCACCAAGACAGAAAAAATTACTATAGTAAATCAACAACACTAAATTTTAAGCAAAAAAGGCACGACACTTGATCTCTCACTTCCTCCTCTGTCTAATAATCTTCGTAGTTTGTCATGTATACAGCAAAGGGGTAATTATTTGCCTTTCAATCCAATACCCATTTCTCTTTCTTTTCTTTTTTTTTAAAGAATATTAACAATACTGTAAACATTACTAATATTCCCCCCTTATCTAGAATAGAATATTGATATAGAATATTATCTGGGGTTTCTATCTGATTACAATGTGGGTGTCTTCAAGCAAGAGTGAATAATAGGCTTTTGTTAAGCTAAATTAGTGATGGATGGTCGATAAAGCTCTATCCACCAGAGGTGTAGGTACATAGGTGTAGTAGTCAAGAACTGACTTATAATTAAAAAAGTTGTACAGAAGTAAAGGTGAGAAATGAATTGAGACCTGAAGACCAGTATATACTGTTGTATCGAAGTCAAATAGCAGTTCATTACTGCTGTGTTTGTGGTAGCTCAGATGGTTAACGCTCACTGTAAATATAACAGAATGCGAGTAACCCGGGTTCAATCCCCGCCGGCACCTGCATGTCTGAGGAATAAGAAAAAAAAATTTCGAGGACATGTGAAGTTCGCCAACACGTATTGGGGCAGCGCGGCGGACACTTCCTTGCCCTAAAAACCTCAGAAATGAGGGGAGGCCTGTGCCCAGTGGGACGTATATAAGCTGTAAATTTACTGCTGTGTTTCTTATGGACTACACTGGCAGATAACAATGACTAACTATTTTCTTGACTACAGATGGACTATAGACCATAGAGACCTTTCTTAACTGCTTAAATACAATTTTGGGCTTAGAATAGACACTTTTCAGGTTTATTTTATGGCTGTGAACGACAAAATCAATCTTAATCCTCATATTATATTTATATAATATTATGTACATGCACACCGAAGCCTTATAATAACAAATAAGATCTTTTTGTTTTTGTTTTATATCACCTTTTAAAACCATGTACTGAAGGAATTCCCCTGTTACTGATGATCAAAAAATTATTATTGTATGTATTATATATACGAAATAAAAATGCTGTTATTAACAATTTTCACTCAAAATTAAAATAATGCATTAACAGGCTAATCAATTGCTATTTGCTATCACTCAACTAATACGCTAACGACATGCAATTCCATATCTTGTTTTCTCTATTTAGTTACTTATAGTCCCTAGGAAGCACGATTAATAGATATGTAACTTAAGTAAATTTTTTTAATAGCTCAGATTCAGCATTTAGTTTTCATTTTGTTTTCTCAATATTAAGTGAATTGTATGCTTTTTTTGAGAAATAAATTCTTAAACCAGAACCTGAAAACTTAAGATTTATTTGAATTCAGAACAAAAATCATAAAATATTTACAGCTCTACCAGCCAGTGAAGTCGCCCAGCACCTCGGTCTACATCTCATCAGAGACCGGACTTGGCAAATACAAGCTTGCGTAGCAACTGACGGTACGGGAGTTAAGGTCAGTAAGGGAGTAAGTTATACATATAATGTCATAATATTTATTTTTGTAAAAAATTATATTAACTATTCCAAGTATCCGTACATCTTCGTTTTTATATTATATATTATCATTGCTATCACTCTAAATATCGCACTAGTAAACGCACATTCAAGTCGATTATATGACATGAGTTTTGACCCTAAACGGATATGTTTAAGATGACTGTGCGGTCATCCAACGCAGAGACCATTTCTCTGTATCGGATGATCGCAAAATGAGCGGTGAGCCAATTCAGTAATTTATTTATACTCGCCGTCACCACTCACCACTTTTCTAGATAGTGGAACCCCTTCTCTGCCTAAAGGCCTGTATTCACTTTGATTAGTGATTAGTGCAGGTGATTAGTATAGGTGCTCAGCGATTATGAGTAAACACGTGCGGACAGCGATTGATTAGTGCAAGTAATTAGTAATCTGCGTAGTAAGGTGATTAGAAGCGTGTTCTATTTTTTTGCGAGTGGACTGCGAGTATCCACGTCCCCGGTGTCCTCCTTTCCCCCTCACTCGCCGAATGTCTTTCACAAAATACGTCTGGGCAACAATGTTAAGTGTTTAACGTTTAGCGTTGGACGCTCGCTTGTGTTGCAAAAATGGCAAAGTGGACCGAAGACATAACTTATAAATTTGTGCAGGAGTATCTAAAAATGAATGTCTTTACAATAGAGTATATCAATAATAGTCAATAAAGTAATACAACCGGAGATGTGGCATTTCTACGTATAAGTGAAGCTATGAACATACTGGGGTTCGGAAGTAAAGAAGTTCATACTAAAATAACAAACTTGAGATCTACATATTCACTAGAGTTTAAAACAGAGTACTTGCTAGTCAACAGCCAACAACTGAATTATTTTTATTAACAACAGCAAACAATACATCCACAAAACTACAAAAACACAGCCACTAAACAGAATTGTACACTACTTACACTACACACTTGCACTAATTACCTCCACTCGCACTTATCAAAGTGAATACAGGCCTTAAGAGTCCATCTGGGTAAGCACCAAACTTACCTATTTCTGTTGCCGAATAGCAGTGTACTTGCACTGTTGTGTTCCAGTTTTAAGGGTATAGAGTCAGTATAATTACAGGTTGTGAGGTATTCCATCTTAGTCCTCAGGGGTAACAACACTTCTGTTGGTCTTTTTGTATGAAGGTGGCTGTAGGTGTCCTTAGACTGCAGCTGCCACTTACAGTCGTCAGCTTCATAAATAAAATCTTAAGTAACGACCCACAATCCACCTTATGCACGAGTACTTATATACTTATATAGACTACAAAAAAGAAGGAGGTTCTCAATTCGACTGTATTTTTTATGTGTGGTTACCTCAGAACTTGTAGGTGAACCGATTTTGATGATTCTCATTTTATTTGAAAGCTGGTGCTTCTCATATGGTCCCATATAAATTTTATCAAGATATGAATAGTAATTTTTGAGTTATCCTTAATAATGCTTATTTAATTAACTTCGACTACAATAATGATGCTCTCATTTTATTTATATTGAAGTCGGATGTACAAAATTTTCAATTTAACTACTTCTTATAAAATTTGTATATTTCACAGGAAGGCATGGAATGGGTGTGTAAGAATATACCAGTGAAGAAATGAAGTTATCCAGCAAATATGTACATATTTAAATCTCCAATCAATCTATACTATAATATTATAATCCGTCCATTTTAATAACCTTTAGGGTTATATCCACTAACATTACTATAATATTCATAAAATATAGCATGAGTTTAGCGGTTGTCTTTTGTTACTTTGTATTTTAGTAGGTAGAATTTTTTTATTCGAGTTTGGTTTTAAGAGGAAAGAAACTTGAATGAAAAAAGAATTATATGGAAATATCAGAAAACGTCATTGTTTCTTATAGATATGTAAATATTTATTCATTTATTTTTAAATATTAATGGTCTTAATCCTATCTATATATCTCTCTTTCTATTGTTATTCTGTGCTCATTGATAATTGAGCGCAGATGGACAACTTCCAGCATTTTATAAATGGAAATTGATTTTATAAGTAAGGCCGTAAATATTTAATTTTACATAAAACGGAAAACCGACTAAGTTTTGAGACCTTACTAGAATAATAACATTTAAGAACTTTTTATACAAAGTTTTCCTTTATTAGTGCAATAAACTAAGTATACTTTGCATTTCTTTGGATTTTTGAAAGGACGTCATAATATTACAAGATTGAACAAATCATGAAGAATTTTATAATAAGGACACAATAATGTCACATTACTCATCCTTAGAAAAGGCGATATTTGATAGTTAATATTTTTGTAATATTAAACCCGTAATTAAATTAGTTTCTAAAAAAATGCCACTTTTGCACGAAATTCTTCGGGGTATGGAATGTAGAGGTAAGGAGAACAGACCGTGTATTAAAAAGTGTCCGTAGAAAAGCGTTAAATAAGGGTTGCGCCACTGTAGCTAGAGGGTAAATTTTAAAGAACTTTTTATAACATTTTATTGCACAAATAATAATTACGATCTTTTTTTTAAGCGCTTGAATGCTGGTGGTTCCTTTTCGATAACCGTAATTTATGTTTGTAACTGCCCTACAGGAGAAATCCTGTAGGGGTAACGTTTTTAAAATAAAAAAAAATCTTTTTATAATAATTATTTTATTGTTTTCAAATTTTTTATTTTCAAAATCTCAACGTGTTTTACGGCGACTTTTTCTAGGTTATATTTACTAAATAATTTTAGACAACGTGTGTAGTTTAGGTTTTAAATACTGCAGTTTCATCATCTACTTTAGTCACCACAAATATTAAATTTCACAACTCAGCACATTTCACTCCATGGATAAGTGCTAAGTTCATTTCATACCCTCTGTCTACTCCAGCGCTGTTGTGGAGAGTTTTTGAACTGTTATTTACTGCTTAGAGATGAACACTTTTTCAACTATTCTACTATGGGAGTTGGTACTCCTTACCTCTACACTCCATATTTTGGGGTTTTAATTATGAAGATATTACTTAGTTGTACGAGTCGCTGTTGTCGAATTAAATCATAGCCAATGCTTTTTTAATTATAGAAGGTATATTATTATGCCCTATTTATGTAGCAGATACGTTAAAAACAAAGTGTTCAGTATATTGTTTAATGATGAGGCGTGATGCCATTCTATTATGCGACTTTGCACGTGTGATTTATTGATCTTGAAAACAGCGCCACCTACCGGGCAAACCTTTGAAATTCTTGCCTTTTCTCTACTATAATAAGCATGTATTGTACAATCTCCCTCTTGAATCATTCTATCGATGAAAACCGCATCAAAATCCGTAGTTTAAAAGATGTAAGCGTACAGACTGCTGGAAGAGACTTTGTTTCATACTGTGTAAAGATAGACAGACATTTATTTTTATAGTTTTTTTTTACAGATTTGGTTAAATTTTTGTGTTTTATTGTATATTCCAAATTATATTGTATTGGTATATTTTTTATTTTGTTTGAAACAAATGAAATAATGTACTTAAGATGGCGGCGTGCCATGCAAGGTCATGACAATTATTGTTAAGAATCGAAGTCGTTAGTAAACCAAATCCTATTTTTATCATGCAATTATATTTATATTAAGTTTTTATGTCTATGAAGTAATGAGCTTTTTTCTAGTCACCAAATATTAAGATAATTTAATTAAACAAATTATAACATTTATTGTCGAATCTCGGAGCAACAAAGAGTGATAAATGAAAACAAGATAATGTGCATTGTTGTAACTAACGAAGTGGTTTAGGTGTATATGTGTGCATCCAGAAGTTTTCAATGGTTGTTAAAGAGAGAAATAAGAAAGATGTGTGCATGTTAAGAAGTTGAGTTTGGTTTGGAGTCACTTGCGTCTATATTGCATTCAGCATTTCTTTGTGAGTTCCAGTATCGAATATGAATTATCACGTTTTTGTTTCTGTTATAAGATCTGGGTTATATGTAAAACCCGATCGAGTTAACTTCGAACCTGGCGTCTATGACGTCATATGGACGCTCTGCCACGGAGTATGGCCCGACTCTGTAGTAGTGACTCGACGGAAGGACGCGGGGATGTGAGCAGGGAAGTGGGAGGGGCGGCGCATTCTATCGGGCACGGAGTTAACTCGATCCGCACAATAGTTGAAAATATAAATTAATTTAAATTATGCTTTGAATTGTTAGATAAATTAAATATTAATTAATTTGTTTTAAAATAGATTATGATCAAACGTTGGTTCTCTTTTTGTTTTAGTTATGATAGTATTAGTTTTAGGAGGATCTAAACCAATGTCTTTGAAAGTTATACGAAAATTATTAGGCAACAAATGTTACAAGCGCTACAGTAAATAGATCGTTAAAAACTTATTGTTCCTATTCCTTGCAGCCCGGATATTCTCTTAAAGACTTATTATTTTGTTGTGTTCGTCTGTGCAATGTACGAATTAGATAAGAGTTTTAGACTAAGCACTTTAGATATTACGTCTCAATTTTAAATTGTAAAAATGTAACGAATTTATGTTCCTTATGTAACTCTTCCATATGTTAATAGGGAATTTCATTGTTTGTCGACTTTCTATATTGAGCGAAGTATCTTATGATCCGACGGGTGAGCTTAAAAGCCTTGATTGACGGTCGAGCTTTACCGCGGTCTTGGTTGCTTGTAGGTAAAGCTAGTTGGTGGATCATCGCAAACTGCGGTTATACGAGCCGACCAGCTCTGCTCGCGACTTGCGGCTGGCCAGCGTTGATTGAAATTCGGCGCGTTGCTTCTAAAAACTAGTTAGTTTAGTTTAGTTTGCGACGGGCTGTTTTCCGCAACTCCACGTCTATGCGCGTATTTTGCGTGTGGGCAGGAATAATATGATTATTCGAGCCATGAGATCTCCCCGAAGAAGCTCAACAGTCCCTTGATGTTGCATGCAACTTCGGGGAGTGATCCCGGCGTGCCGAGATGTTCAGCCCTGTACGTAGCGACCTCCGGACATTTCAGTAGCACGTGGGCCGCCGTTTCTTCCTCCCCCATACATGCCCTGCACAGGGGACTATCTGTAACACCTATAGTAAATAAATGTTTGTTAAAGGTGCCGTGTCCTGTGATAGCACTTGTTACTATCCTGATCTGCGGCTTGTTCAGTCTCATTAAAACTTTGGTTAAGCGACTGTTTATTACAGGTAGGGCCTCCCTAGCTTGTCTACAGTCTAGATTTTTCCAAAGCTGAGCGTGTTGATTAGTGAAGTGTCTACGTACCATTGAACGAACGTTACCAAAGGGGATTGGTATGATTGGTTCCGGCCCTATAGGCCAGAGCCGATCCTCTTCTGGCCAGTTCGTCCGCTGCATCGTTGCCTCTGGATCCACTGTGTCCCTTTATCCATTGCAGAGTCACATTGTTGTTTTTACATACCTCATTTAATCGTTGATGGCATTCATATATTAGTCCCGAGTTCACTCCATTGCAACTCAGAGCTTGTAGTACCGCCCTACTGTCGGTCAGTATTCTGATGGGGAAGTCATTAACCTTCATAGCATCTATTGCTATGGCCGCTTGAATGATACCCATACATTCCGCCTGAAAGACCGTGTTATAGGTACCCAGCGGTGTGCATATGTGAATATTGAGGTCTTCAGAGAAAGCTCCAGAACCTACACCTTCATTTGTTTTAGAACCATCGGTGAAAATTCTAAGCTCTTTTGGGCTTAATCCTTCCGGCTGGCTGTTTTCATTTAATTGTATCTTGTATTTCTTATCGAAATCATATTGTTTAGAAATCCTATCGTATTTGGCTTGTAGGATAGGAATTTCTGAGTGAATTCTATCAATTATGCTTGTATGAGGGACACTATTCTTACTCCAAAGATTTAGGGTCTTGAGTCTGATGGCAGCTAAAGTCGCTTCTTGTTGTATATGTAAATGAAGCGGAGTTAGCTCCAGCATCGCTTCCAAGGCTGCTGTTGGCGTAGTTCCTATGCAGCCTGTGGCAGCCATACATGCCAGTCTCTGGTAGCGCTGAAGCTTCTTAATTGTGGTGGCTTCATTTGTCTTGGTCCACCATACCAGAGCGCCGTATGTGATCATGGGCCGAATTACAGTTTTGTAAAGCCACAGTATGATTTTTGGCGTCAGTCCCCATCTTTTGCCAATCATGTTTCTGCATTGCCAGAAAGTTATACTAGCTTTGTTGATTTTGTTTTCTATGTGTTTATTCCAGTTAAGTTTGCTGTCCAAGGTAAGACCTAAATATTTTACCTCAGAGGATAGCTGGAGTTTTGTGCTGAAAAGACTTGGAAGATGATAGTTATTCAGCATTCGTTTTTGTGTGAACATTACTAAAACCGTTTTATTTGGGTTGACGGTTAAGTCGTATTCCCTGCACCATCTCTCCACTATACGGAGAGCCGCTTGGGTCAGGTCGCACACTATGCTTGCTGTCTTTCCCGAGACCAGTATTGTCAGGTCATCAGCATAACCTACTATATAGAAGTGAATAGTATTTAATTTGCTGATGAGTTCATTAATGACCATATTCCACAGGAGAGGTGAGAGAACCCCACCCTGCGGGCAGCCTTTCCTAATTTGGATTGGTTGAGATTCACCAACAACAGCAGATTCTAAAAACTAAACAATAACTGTTTCGCATGCCTTTCTATCAGGAACAACATGTGAAAAATCCCGCAAGCCTGCCCACCCGTCGATAAGGCCATTTAGAAAGAGCATTGAAAACAAAAGCTTACACTAACCAATTTTAGTAAATAAGTGTTAGATGTATCAAGTTCCAAATTCAAAGTAGCCCATTAGTTAATTTCATAATAAGAATTTGTGAAAAATGTGCTTTTATTGCATTCTCTGGATTAAAATGATGAATAGTGTATCATTTCATGTTTAGAAAATATGCACAACGGAATCTTACCCGACGGGAGTCCCAAACATTTGGTATGTGTTACATGGAATTTACTCAATAATGTATTACAAACGGTATCGTTCAAAACTAGAAGTTTCTTTATTCCAGTTATAATTAAATAAATAAAATGCATTTTATTTGTGTGTTTTGTATTTCATGTCTTAAATAAATGTTACATTATTTACAGGTATAACCATGGAATGTTTAATACAATATTTCATATCATAGTTTTAAAGAAAAAGAAAATTAAGTTGTAGATTCAAAGGAATTTCTCGCGTATTAAAAGCAAAATATTTTTATTAGCACCATATCCAGCAAATGTATTTATTTTATTACTTAAAATACAAGTCGCAGAATAATTTTTCGCATATATATAATTACTTAATTTTTATTTATACTTATAAGGTATCTAAATATAATTCATAAGGAAAATTTATTTTGCGACACAAATGACGTATATATTATTAATTAACATTAAAATTATTTATACAGTCGTACACTACTTCAAAGGAACAGGTTATAAATTCTATTTTTTAAATAAATCTTATAACAAGCCTGTGTTCCGATATAGAACCCAGTATACTGGCGAATGCAAATGACGTCATTAATTGACGCCATATTGTACTGGCGTGCCGCCGCCATATTGTGTCGGATATCCCGCCATATTAAAACAATTTTTTATTGTGTGTATGCTGAATGTAGCATCTTAAACAGTTAAATCTGTACGATGAATAGAATGAGAAATCATACTCATTCTTTGTTACTGAGGAAGAGTTGTCAAGAGCATATTCAGGTAAATTATGAAATTATTGTAATTAAATTAATAATAAATTATTTGTACTAAATGTATTTTTAATTAAATTAATGTTTGACAGAGCCACGGTGGACGTTTGCAATATGTCGCAAATGTATGATCTGATATACTGGCCAATGTTTTGAAACAAATCACCAGTATGGCGTTGATGTATGACGTCATTTGCATTGGCCAGTATACTGGGATCTATTTTGGAACACAGGCCAAATAACACAAAGTCCAATTACTCAATAAAATTTACTATGTACTATATATAACATAATCTGTGAAGTAATTCAAGCTTTATAGTTCACTGTGATACACTTCCGTAGTAACTTTGAGCTCGTGTTCGTGGAACGATGCGCAGTCGGCTGGATATGCGGCCTAGAAAAACAAAAATAATGTTTTTTTTTATTCAGGCTTTGAACGCGGCCGAACAGAGTAACGAAAAAAAACCTCACGCTCCCCACTCCGACGGGCACGGAGGTGTGGCGTTGAAAGCCGTGCATCGTCTAACGTCGTTTCAGTTCGGCAGACTTCGGCACTCGGCAGAGTTCGGCACGGTGTTTGTGTGCGTGCGACTAGAAGTATGCGTGTACACTAGCTGCTAACTGAATGATAAAAATTCCTGAATAACCTACATGTATTGTAAGATATTAAAAATATTTTAAACAATATTAACTTCTCATTTATTCAATAAGAGAAAAAAAATTGTTTTCTTATCAGTCACCACTCTCAAAAAGTGTAACTTGATTTAATATCAAAGACTTAACTGCATAATAAAATAAATAAATAATTATAATTGCATAAGTTGATAAAAATGCTATGCAATAGCTTTACCGCGGCAGTCACCGAGTGCCACACGTATTTTTTTATTATTTTGTGTCGTCAAAACCCCCTCGCCGAGCATGGCAACTTTGTCTTAGGCAATCTATGGTCATAGTAAAAACAGAATAGTAGGCTTATTTCTAAGAAATGTACCCAAACGCCGTTAATATGTGTGCGTGGCTGGCACGTGCCAGTTCGGACTCGTACGCACGAGCCACAGCGCGCACACAACGACACTTGCTAAGTCGGGAAGATCGGGCCGAGTCGGGGACGGCCACCGCCGCGCTCCGCAATCACTTTTGTATGAGACTTTGTTGACTTAATAAAATTTTGCTAGCAGAGTTTTGTTTGTTTTATTTTCTCTTTTTGTAAAATAAATTAAGATATGCGTTTGCTTAAGCGAATAAGCTTATTATTAATAGGTTATATTACTATATCTATACATAGATACATACCTCATAAGTACATTAATTTTTTATTTATTTAACTTCATATACACATTAGATGTATATAGGAGGACTTAATGCCTGAGGCATTATCTACTAGTCTACCGTAGAGTAGTGCAGAGATAAAAGTTTAAATTAATTGTCATATCACATCAGATTAAATTAATTTTAAATATTAAATCTGAGCTGACAATATATGCTCAGTGTTAATTTACTCGTATTTTAGTTATTGTTGTAATTGGAAGTAAATGTAAATTGGCTGAATTTTTTTACAAACATTCGTTTTCTCTCAAAGAATCAAAGAAATGATTAACAAATATGATGCATAGGTACGTATCCGTATGTATTATATTTTTAAATACTATAACTATTTATAAAACTAAATGACACTTAGCCGTTAAACAAAAAGGCCGTGACAACCCTGCAGCAGTAGGCATTTAAAATAAATCCTACTATTCTGTTTTTACTATGCTATGGGCGAGGCTTATATTCATCAGTAGATTTTGATATGTTATAACAGTAACGGTAATATCTACTCATATTTTAATAATTCTTATAAACACTTAGGCATTAAAACGGTATAAGCATTTCCCCTGTGTGCTAATTTTGAAATTTCTAAATTGATAACTATAAAATCACAAAACTACGCAATCACGGTAAGTACGAAATTCTTAAAATGCTAATTCTATGAAATTGCTGAACGAGTCATTAAGAAACTACAATATGAAATTACAGAACTGTTTACTTTGAAACTATTATACAGCATATTTGAAATTTTAATCCCGCAAGCTATGAATTTACAATACCGCTAATTTTGGAAATAATTTTACTGCTAATTTTTAAAAGGTAAAATTATATAAATTTAAAAGATAAATTCATATACTGCTAACTATGCAATTAATAAACCACTAACCGCGAAAATTTAAACAGGATTTTTGGCTAAAACAATGAAATTATGTGCAATCATGGCCTCAGTTTTTCTTACATCACTAATATGGATATATAAAAAATTACTTACGTCACAATTAACATCATTTTGTATAGCATTGTACAGATCCCAGAAGCCTTTTCCGTTCTGGTAACTCAAAGCTGCTGACGCCGCAAGGCTGCTCAGTTTCGTGAGACCAGCTTTGAAGCCGGGAAGGCCTGCGAAAATAATGTCTACTTTAACAGTGTATTAAAAAAATACTCCCATCAAATTTATTTTTCCTAATAATAGTGAGAGTTCCTAGAGCCGTGGTCGCTCAGATGGTAAGCGCTCGCTGTAAATTTCACAGTACGCGAGCAAACCCGGTTCGATCACCGGCGGTACCAATGAAATTGTTAATTGCAATTTTAAGTGCTGATTTACCATGTGCTCGGCGGTGAAGGAAAACATCGCGAGGAAACCTGCATGTCTGAGAAGTAAGAAAAAATTGAAGATATGTGAAGTTCGCCAACACGCATTTAGTAGCGCGACGGACACTTTCCTCCTAACCTTTTGAGAAATGAGGGGAGGCCTGTGCCCAGCTTTAGGACGGTATATAGGCTACTAACTTTTTAATAATAGTGAATGTAAGATTCTAGAATAACCTATGGTAGGCTTAGGAGTTGGGTGCTCGCATTGAAGTTCATAGAAACTGAGCAACCGTATCCAACCCTCAAGACCCACGCAGACAGACGCAGTTGTTAGTACTTCGTACGTATGTACGCCAATTAGTATGTAATTAGCTGTCCCCCGCGATTTAGCTCGGGTTGAATTTATTACAACTGGTTTAAAGCCCATGAGGGTTTTAATTTTTTTTTTCACGGAAACATAGCTAGCTGTTTGTCAGTGACAGTCCCGTCAAAATCGGTCCAACCGTTTCCGAGATTATCCGAAACAATCAGGCAGACTGATGAACACAAGGTTTTTAAAAATTGTCTTTTTGTTATTAGTTATAAATGTACTTTCATGTGCATTTAGTAAAAAGTTGTTATATTGACGTTACAAACAGACTCTTCAATTTTTTTTTGTATAATAAGCATGACAAGATGGTCCAGAGGGCAAATAATCTTTCACTCACCAGATGTCGCTGGTTGACACTGAGGTGAAGTTTTTTTGTTACACAATGTCATTTAATTGAGAAGAAAGATTATAAATAAAAGATTATCTTTTTATGGCGTATTATTCTCTGCAGCTTATGCTGTAAAAAAGATTAGAGATCTCACTAGTGGCGAGATTAGTTTGTTTTAGTTGTTTCCATAGCATAATCTCATATGGGATTTTGCTATGGGGAAATGCGGCTAATTTAGAAACTATTTTTGTTTTGCAGAAGAGGGCCATAAGAGCTAATACAACGTTAAGCCGAGAGAGTCTATATATAATAAATATGTTCACAAAACAAAGGTAGTTTTAGTTAACAATTCATCATTATTATAGACATTATAGAATTTTAGCAGGTTTCAATGTTTCACGTCATTCATAGGGTAATGTATACGAAATTACAACAAAGTCCCACAAAATATACAAAGTACCTCTATTAAGAACTTTAAATATTATTTAAACAAAAACTATATAAAAAGGGTTATTATGATATAAATGAATACATGATTGATAATAATCCCTGGGAATAAGGTGGTCGCTTCCAAGCTGTATATTTTGTGCCATATTTTGTGACTATTGACATTGTGGATTTTTTAAAAAAAGTCCCATTGGATTTCTTGCTGGTTCTTCCCAGGACAGAGGTTTATTTTCGAACCAGTGGTACAGAATAAATAATAGTATTACATACGTACAAATGGTAAAGTAAAAAAAGACTTTCAATAAGAATTACAACATGTAATTTATATTGAATAAAAAATTATTCTATTCTATTATAATCTATTATATTAATACACAAAACAGTGGTTTGTTCTTTAATTTTATTTTTATCTCTTTTATTTTTTTATACTTTTATGAATATCTGTGGTTTGGTTTATTTATTTTTAATCTAAATATATAGTATAACTAAAAGTATAGAAAGAAACATAAATCTTAAACTTTTCGGACAAACCTTCCCGCTATGAAATCTGGTCAGTATTACATGGTATTACACCTTATTTTTAAGTGGCACCGTCCTGGTGGCAGAAAAAGTCGCGTATGGCCATCATACTGCAGGTGTCCTTGGACTGCAGTGGCCACTTACCAACAGGTGGACTGTAAGTTTGTTTGTTACTTCAATTTCATACCGGAACCATCAGTATTACAGTATAATACACAAGGCATACATGAGGTTTAACCCTAACGATTAAGCGAGGTTACGCCCGAGTATTCTTATAGATGGCGCGGAAGTGAGACTATTATATTAAACTTTTAACAAAAATATTAGGTATTTATAGTTTCTTTATGAATCATCTAGCTATAGTTGTTTCGTACTTTATTACATGCGAGGGAAAAAGATAGAGATAGGTTACTAATTGTTTTCATTCATTATCTGATTTTTTTAGAAAATGTCCAAGTTTTTCGGACAAAATGTGTACACTATCTGTTCGTCAAGTTTCATTACAGTCGGTTTAGTCATTTCGAACATCATGCAGACAGACAAGCAGACACAAATTTAAAAAATGGTTATTCATGTCATAATAGAGCCATGCTGCAGTTATATTGGTAGTATAGTTGTAACATGAATGGGTCGGCTCATCTGGGGAAGGACCACGCTCTGACAGAATACCAGAGTAAAATAGCAGCTTAATGCTGCTGTGTATCGTATGGTGAGTATAGAGAACCGGGGACCCTTTTTACTGGAAACGATGCTACATCTTAGTCCTCACGGGTGACAACGCATCTGCATTTTGATTCGTAATTGACGATAGATGTAAATGTCTATGGCCTATGTCACACTATCCTATATAAAAAAAAACATTAACAAAAGTAGACATTTTAATTTTATTTATATTTATAGATTCTTTATTCAACTTACGCTCTTTATCCTGGTCGTGATGCCTGTTGACAAGGCACATGAGGTGTTCCTGACAGTGTGGCGCTTTGAGTGAGTGCTTGTAAGCTCTGTATACACGTAACACAGGTTCTATTACTTCGAGGTTGAGCGTGTCTGTCAAGCGATCCGCCACTGCGTTATAATCTGCGCGACTCACTATCGTTTGGGATGTAGAATGTGCCATTTTTAATGTTTGCTGGAATTTGGGAAAAATGTAATAAATTAGTATCGAGTTTATGTATTCCTTCAGGTTGAGAATCTTAAGACCAGCAGTGTGGGTTAAAGTAATTGTTTATGCTATATACATGTATATATCCTCCAGGCCGAACTTTTTGTAACGACGGCCAATCCCAGTGGAGAACAGCCATATACGTGGGACAGAATTATAGTGCCAGAATCTATGGGCAGCTCAAGTGTACTATCTATTCGCACACTCTCATAGTCCGATAAGTCGGTACACCGACACGACCGGAGAGAGATCAGACACAAAACCAACGGCTTTGCGTGCTTTTTGAGAGAGGAGGAGAAATTTTGTTGTCATAATTATAGTATTACCAAATAGTGATGTAACACTATGGCATATGAATTCCGGCTCGAAGGACCAAAAATTTTATCTGACTAAATTTGTTTTTATAAATAGTAAGTTCATCAATTTAACATGCTTTGGTTGAATTGGTTTAGTTGATTGAAATTTTAATCAGAACCTACATTGACTAACTCGGTAGTTAAAGTTGAAAATCGTCTTACTTTAATATATTCCACAGCAGGCTTTACATAATCCGAAGCGTCGGTATCCATGTCCAAGTACTGGTGTAACACGTGGTTTATCAGTACAGTCAGAGATTCAGCTGGCCTCTTCATGTTGAAGTGCGTATTTGAAGGTAGACCCTGAGCGTCTAGGAAGCTGTTTATTATGTACTGCGCTGATATTAAGTATCTGTAAAATTCATTTATAAAGCTCAGAGGCTAAGTATACTTTAATATACGTATACGATACCCACCGCCACCAATGACATAAAGCATATACAATATTTATAGTAAATAACAAACTAAAAATTTTAATTTATCATACATTCCTACTGCTGGCTATGAATGGATGTATACTTAGTCTAAGAGCGAGAAAAGAATCAGCCCATTTGTTATGGCGACAATGAAAAATCATGTATACAGTTCCTATTAGGAACTTTACTGCAGTTGAACCCCACGGACTGAGAGTCTCTACAGCAAATTACACCAACAAGTGGTTTTTACTCTCTCAACCAACATTTTTTTTGTGTTGGTTACCATATGTGGCGGTGTAAGAATATCCACTACGCCATATCATCGCATGGGTGTCTTATGAGGCGACAGAGGGAAACAAATCAGGAGATCAGCAGCAGCATCTTCCTAATAACCAACCAACCGTGGCAAATATGGCATAATAGGCTTTAGCGATAACCGTGCTCAGGGGTGAAGTAAAATGCATGCACAAAACCCGCATGTCTGACTGTGGTCAGCTCGAACTTTACAATGTCGATATTTGATTCTAGAGCACATGTTAAACGAATTTTGACGGTATGAAATTTTCATTTGACTTGGCGGGCTAATTACCCTAAAACCGTCTCAGAGTTTAGAGGAGGCCTGTGCCCAGTAGTGGAACGTATACAGCTTTAACTTTACTTATACTACTCACTAGATAGAGTGACGACTTAATAAGAAATATATAATAGAGTGGCGACTAGATCCAATTCAAAGAGACCTAAATAGACTTGTTATTTGAAACGGTAAAACTCGTAAAAAGGACCTTTGAATTCTTTTTTATCTACTCTTTTGTTTAGCGACTGAGACATTTGTATATAATACTCATGTTCTTACCTCTGGTAAACTTCGGGCTTAGCGACATGTACAACCATGTCTGTCAAATATTTTGCCGCAACCTTGATCCAATGCCTCCTAAACGAATGATTCTCGAAGTTCTTTAACATCAGCTCGAAGCTAATCGAACCATCTGGTGCTGTGAATGCTTTCATAGTTCGCTTCAACCCTGACTTTTCCCAAATGGTTTTTCCAAGTTCAGAATTAATGAAAAGGTCCCAATAGAGATGTACTTTTTCTAAAAAGGGGGGTAAGAATGACGCGTGATCTTTGTGACTCTCTGCGCGCTTGTTAGCTTCTGTTGCAGTTAGGGAGTTCAATGTATTCATGACCATAGGCAAAATTCCTGCAGCGTGTTTGTTTCCTAAGAATCCCGATGCTAGATTCAGTATGCTGTCTAAGTTCATATCGCCTTCCTGGCTTTGTCTTTTCTGTCGTACCGGCTTTGGTTGGTCGTTGCCTATTTGTTGAGCGAACATTGAGATCATGGAACCCACTAGTGCTGGGTCAATTTTACCGTCTTGACCGCCTAGTAAACTGCCTATACCTAAAAGGTAAAAATATTTGTCATTACATAAATTTAGGTATCTTTATTTAAATTAAAAGTAAGTATTTGTTAAAGGTAATATTTAAGATTTTTCTTTTCTAAAATTAATCTGGATTTTGATTATTCATATGTGATGTGTCTTTGGCTACAGCATCCATTTACCATCAATTCAGTCATCATTCAACATCATTATAGTCCAATGACTTGTGAAGGGTATAATGATGATGCCTTTGAATTATATGTACTTCGTACTAGAGAAGCTATTCCAAACAAAAAACGTAAACTACTCTGTCTTCGCTCATGCACAGTTGATATAAACGCGAAAAAATAATTGTCATCATACATCATGCGTAAATAGAATGATCAAGTATGTAATAATTGTTAATTAGATTGTATTGTTAATCGAATACATTCTTTTTAATTATTGTTTATTTTGTATATGTGCTAATTTAATTTTCGTATTATTAGCGCCGCTCTGCACTGCATGAATATCGAAGCCACAATAGCAGTAGCAGGTCTACGGATTGCAGTACAGTTCAGTTGAACACAGTGAGTGTTCGGAACGCAAAATCTAGTGCATAGTACATACATATCGATGGATACTAATGCATTATCATCATCACGCCCTTCACAAGTCCACTGCTAAGATACTACTAATACTTGCCCCAACATGGGCCTCCTCTAAGTTAAGTCACAAAACATGGCCCTATATTTTTATGATTCAGGCCTTAAATATTACAATACTAATAAATGTTTTAAAGTTATCTTACCTGATAGGATATCTCCTGGATTTGCACCATCGGATTGCCCGAACAATGCCCCTAGGTTTTTAGCATTATCACCTTGCATCAAAGTTCCCACAATGTTGCCTATAGCAGCCATCCCGTTCAGATTGTTACCATTACCCTCAACCATGTTTTGTAAGAGTGAGGCGGCTATATCCACGAATGGGTTGTCATCATCACTTCTGCCTCCGAGGATCGGAAGCGTTAATATTTGGCAGATGAATACGAGAAGAACGCTGAGACGCGCCATAATTCAGCAGTCTGGAAAAATATAAAAGTAAATGTAAAGATACATCCTATATACGATCTACGGCTGGACACAGGTCACCTCTTATTTCTAGGGGGTTTTAAGGCAGTGTCCGCCACGCTGCTCCAATGCGTTGTAACGTATTTCATATGTCACCGATTTTTTTAATATCTCAGTCGTGATAGAAAATTTAAGCTGTGTTTTATTTCTTAGATGAAAGTAAAGAAAAAAAAAACAATGTAATGGATTCAAATACGTTATTTGTTGGGTGGTAGCATCCGAAGAGAACCCATCAGCCAATTTTTCCCGTATCTGTCGTAAGAAGGTCTTATGTAATTCCCCCTTCGTCGTCTTTTCATTCACATCACGCCGCGCGTTTTATGGCTTTTCGGGAATTCGTCAAAGCCGTTTCATTTAATGAAAATTCTTCAATAATAAATGAGTAGACTAGCTGGCCCGTGAGACGTGATCTGCCCTTTCCGGTTTGTGGTGCGATGAGCCGTTCTAAATTTACTCACGACTTTTTAGTGTAATTATAAAATTTATTAATAACTCAATCACAATCTTAGTATCGCTTTCCAAGTAAACCTATATTAAAGTTATACATAACCTGATAGCTTATTTGATAAAGTTTCCATTGATATATGATTTTAATATATCTTTCATACAAAATGTCTTGGAAATAATCATTTTATTGAACAGCAGGAAGTAGTCTGGAAGTACTTCAGGAAACGCTTGACAGATACGCCATATTGCCCAAAATGACCGCGATATTCGAGGGAGGGGTTTTGATCGAAGATCACAATACAACCTATCGGGTGCTGCTTTTGTGATTTTCTTTTATGGCACTAACCGACACACACAATGTTACGCATGACCATAAATGTAATGTATAAAATATGTTTATAATTTGACTACAGCGTCCTAACCTAAGTATAGCTACAAACTATCGTCTTGACAAAACAAATATATTGTGTGAATATGACTTCAATAAGTCAAGTCGTTCAGAAGATCACGATCACTACCGAGATCACCATCCATTGTAAGGAAAGTTCAGAATAAGTAATATAGGAGAATGACGAAGAAAAATTACTTAAAAAAATCTCAAACATTCTACCATTTTTATCTTTTAAACTCAGAATGCATGATAATACATTATTTTAAATGACTGTCATTCATTAATATCTAGCGCCTACTATTTTATTACACACGCACACATTCGTGAGTGTCGGAAAAACGTTGTGAATTGAATCGCACACAGCGGCGCGCACGTACGCGTAATTGTTGCCCATAAATCACATTCAATTTGTGATAATTTAAAATAAAAGTAGAAATACGAGGAAATAACTTTCGTAATTTCAAAAACTACTATAACGATATATCATTATTTACATATTTGAACTTAAATATATAGATACTCTGAACGATAACCCTGTAAAAAGATATATTATGGCAACTTTTTGAAGGACAAAAGAGGCCGTTTTATTATAAAAAGTGGTTTATAAATAATCTGTCTCAGGTTTAAGCTAAAGTCTGATTCAATTAAGAAGTACCGTGGAAATTATGCGAAATAAAATGTAAAGTATGGAATTTGTCAGCAAATGGCAATTTCGCGAAGACTGTAGCGCTGCGGCTAAGGCACTTTTTCATTAGAAGAAAAATGGAACCATAGTTTAAGCTAGACTATCGATAAACCACGTTTTCTAATAAGTTTGTATAAGTTAAACAACAGTTGGTAGGCTGGTTGAAGATACGGACTGCGATACTTAAATGTTGCGGGTTCAAATCCGCCATTAGAGTACGGTCTTGAGCCACTTCTAGCTCAAGCATTTTAAGGCTTAGTTGGAGTGGTTAAAGAAAGTATAACTTATTTTAATAATATCGCTATATTTTTTTAACTTCATGAGCTCTAACAGACGGTAGTGTTCCATATTTTGTATCATCATAGTCATGATCATCACAGTTCTTCATAAGTCCGAGCGGGTAGTTTGACCGTGGCAAATCAACCTCTTTTCGCGTATGCCGTGTGTAACATTTTTATATCATTATCTTTTTTTTTTATAGAATAACATTGACAAACGAGCACATAGTCTATCTGATGATAAGTGAATGCTGTGGCCCATAAATATCTACTCTTAACCTCGATTAAGAATTACAACGCAGATGCGCTTTCACCCCTGAGGACTAAAATGGAATGCCTCGTTTCTAGTAAAAAGGGTCTCCGGATCTCCACACTCACAACACGAAACATAGTAGTATTAAGCTGCCATTTTACGCTGGTATACTGTAAGAGCCCGGAGTCCTTTCCCGGTCGAGTCGACCCATTCGTGCTACAACCATGATACGAGTATAGCTGCAGCGTGACACTGCCACGAATGAAAATGAATGTATGAAAATGAATTATGAAATACATATCATTTTTACAATTTCCGTTTTTAATACATATTTATAATTTTATTGTACCCTTTACAACATATTATATGTTAATGTACCTTTATAATATTTTAATAAAACGTAACTAAATTTTCTTTATAGTTTTGAGAAAAAGCAAAATACAGCTACGTTGGATGACTAGAAGAACAATATTACAAAGTATTTATTGGCTTTCAGAGTTTTATGATGAAGAAGGCGGAAGATTTATTCTTTATTTCATGTTGGTTGCAGAAGTTCATGGCTGCTATGGCTTTATCAGGTAGACTGTTACCTGGATTATCGCGTAGTTTACAAAATAAAAAAGTAGCCAAATTAAAATAATTAATGAAGTAGATAATCAGTAAATATGCAATATTTCCTAGCATTCATTTCGTAAAATGTCATGTCGTTCAGGTTGTGTACGTCAGTTGTTATATCGGACTGCTACTGTACGTCATGGATTGGTAAAATAATAATTGAGTCTGCTCACGATATAAGATTTGTAGCAATATTGCTGTGGTTTGTGTGGTGAGTTAAGAGTGGGGAGAAAAGAGAAGGGTCTCCCCTTTTTACTAGTAACGATGCATTAGGGTTGAACAACGCATCAAGGTAGTTGAACTCATACTTTATGCCCAGTAAAGGAGCTGTATTGAAAGTTACGTGCTCTGATTACCAGGCCACAATATTTTTTTTCTTTTGTGTTATTTTTACACAGGAACAACTAGAAAATACAGGTGATCTGTCATGTCACCAAAAAGAGACTTGTCAGAATTTTAGTGTTCTCCATCTTCCTTTATGGTTCTGAAGCATGATCAAAAATAAAAATGTATGTGACGCAGTTTTTTTTTAATAATTAGTATTCAAATCGCATATTACATCGTATTTAATTTTGATTTTTAAATATGCACTGGATGTATATTATCCAGTTGCTTTACATCTTTGGGCTTCGAAAGAATTCAATAATGTCAAACTTATTAGTGCGAACGTGCAATCACTGTAGATAGGTTAACTGAAAAAAAAAAAACTAAATTTACGGATTTTATAGCGTTTATTTCACAACTTTTACTTATTTTTAATTCCCGACGTTTCGGGTGCTTTACAGCAACCATGGTCACGGGGGGCCTTAGATGTTTGACGTCCCAATGTCATAGTTAGCACGGCTACCTTCAGTTTTTGAATATTAATTTTTGGTCCGATTTACGCAAAACGAGCTTATAGTATCATGAAGTCTTGCAGTGGTATGCTTAGGTTTTGGTTTAATTTTGTTAATTATAGGATCCCAAGAAGGTGGCAGCACCCATCCATCTTCTCTATTGAAATTTGGATGTTTTTTAATTTCAATAGCCTCGCGTATCATCCTTGGTAGGATTCGGAGTTCTTTTTAGTGTTTTCGGAGTCTTTTTTTTGGTTTATCAAAACCACAAATTCTCGCACCTGCTTGGGATCCTATAATTAACAAAATTAAACCCAAACCTAAGCATACCACTGCAAGACTTCATGATACTATAAGTTCGTTTTGCGTAAATAGGACCAAAAATTAATATTCAAAAACTGAAGGTAGCCGGACTAACTATGACATTGGGACGTCAAACATCTCAGTCCCCCCCATGACCATGGTTGCTGTAAAGCACCCGAAACGTCGGGAATTAAAAATAAGTAAAAGTAGTGAAATAAACGCGATAAAATCCGTAAATTTAGTTTTATTCAATGTGTAGTGTTCGCGTAAATTTAAGAAATCATTAGGTTAACTGAAAATTTGATTTTTATTCAAAACTTTTTTGAAAAGATTGAAAAATAAGCCAAAAATTTACCTGATGAAGAGTAGCTACTGCCTCCCATGGGCGTCTACAACCAACTTTTATGTGGTAGAGCCACGCTGCAGCCGATACTTTGGTTGCAGCACGAATGGATCGGCCGACAGGGGTAGGACCACGCTCTCTCAGAATATTGGCGTAAAAGATGCGATTTTATTTAATGCTACTGTGTGTCGTACGGTGAGTGTAGAAAACTGGAGACCCTTTTCACTGGAAACGAGGCACTCCACCTTAGACCTCAGAGATGACTACCTATCCGCATTTTAAATCTTAATCGAGGATAAATGTAGTCTATGGGCCTCAGTATTATCAGTCCATCAGGTAGACTGTGTGTCCGTTAATCACCTTTGCTTTTTAAAAACGTGATAAACCTATAATAAAGCTATTTACAATTTTGTTAGTTATAAGGAGAGTCTCTTGCCCAGTGGGTGGATATTCGTTATACGATCACCTAACCTGCAAGCATTAGATCTGCGGATACAGTATTAAAAATACAATATGTATTTTGTTTATGGAACAAGAGGATACTCTACTCAAAATTTATTACTTGGAGCTCTAATGTTTCCCCATCACAATTCACGTCCTTAATTGATAATTGTATTATATCCTACCTATCTTTAGTCG